TCTTATTTGTGTCAAGTAAATATTAGAAAGTCTTCTAAACTATTGTTGGTAATAGATATTCGAAAGTACTAGGAAGAAATGTAATCAACTCTCTTTCAACCTTGAACGAAACTACAGAAACATTAAAATTTCAATACTGACTGATAGCCAGGCAGCTATAATAGTTATTACGGAATTACTAACCGGTCACTGTAGATTGCATAATCGCCTAACAAAGTTAGGAATTCAATCCAATTCAGACTGGAGATACTGTAGAGAAGAGAGAGAAGCCGCATAACATGTGCTCTAGAGGAGTGCCCGGCAGGAATGCATAACCGAAAGAAATACCTTGGAGGCTGCAAATACTATTGAGAAGAGAGAGAAACCGCCTACCATGTGCAAGGGGAGTGCCCGGCAGTGATGCACAAGCGGAAAAAATACCTTGGATGGTATTTCATGGAATAAGAGGATTCAAGACTAGGAAACACAGGCCCAACACTGTCTTTAATTAAAGAAATCGGACTTGGAGAAACACTCCAATCCGACTAAGGGGCACAATAGATCTTTTAGGTCGCAGTGTACCATCCCTTTTTAAATAATAACCATATATATAAATAGATGGTATATCAATATATGGCAGTCACTGGTATATTTTCTCTGAAATGTATAAATTCTATTCTACAATTTAGATTCTTAGCTGGTGTTGAGATGTATTACTTTCTTTATTTAGTATTTCATATTTTACGTATTTAAAATATTTCTACTTTCGTTTTCAATTTGTCAAACGCCGGCCTAGTTAACATTGCGCATTTGATTAAATTTACGGCACTCAATTGAAATTTATGTGATTTCTTTATTTATTAATTAACTCGAAGCTTTTGGCGTATTGAAGTATGCATAGTCAACATGAAGTTATTATCAAAATAATTTGATTACATGTACGCACTTTGTATCTGCGAGTTTCCCTTAGGCTCGCGAGCATTTAGCAATAGGAATTGTGCAATTAGCGCAAAACGCAGAGAAAACGCGTTGCTTAAATCTGACCTCCTTCATTTGACATTTAACTTCGGCAATTGTATTTCAGTTAAGTGAATTAGAAATGAATTTCGTGTCATAATTTCTTGTTTTTATAGATTGACAAGCTTTATGTGAAGTCAATTTTTTTATTTGAACATCAATTGAATTAGTAAACGTCCAAACCCCATTATGTATTGCACAAATATTTCATTATTATTAATGGGTAACTAAGTTAATACGTCGAATTTATTTACATTATTTCAGAGCACTAATTTATTACGAGTACACATTCGTAGATACAAAACCTAAAAGCTTTTTGATTTAATGCAATTAGTTAATGTGTACATCTTTCAAATTTATGCATATTGTATTAAATTCCAAACACTCACATTCTATACTAAATATTGTCTTTAATTACAACATAAATGATATTCCACATATCCAATGTCCAAGTGTAAGCACGAGCTATAATATATGAGCCCTCATAATACCACTGCCAAATGTGTTTACAATTTGCTACTAATTAACGTGATGCCTTCTATACTATATATGGGCGCATATATTTTGCATATATGACCCCGGACAGACAGCATAATGACAGATTCAAGCACATAAATTTCATCCGTATGTAGGTGAAATATATCTTGCACACTCAAAAATATCTACATACACAGACATGTGAAATTTTTATATACTTGTTTTGTGTAGCAGTGTTGCTACACAAATGTATCTAGATACAAATGTATCTATGTTTGCGAGTATCTTTAATTCATGACTGTGTGTCTGTCATTAAAATGAGTAGTTAGTCTTAGGTTTCAAGGTTAATTCTTTGTATGCGCGCACGTTACATGACAGTTAATAACTCAGTAATTACTGCAAAATAAACAAAAATTGTTATTGTTTCTCTGCTTAAATAATGCGAGAAAGTTATCTTTATTTGCACTGTAGTAGAGGCAAATGCAAATACTCGTAGTATGAGTAATAAAAATATTAATTTAAATAAATAATATTTACAAAAATTACAGTGTTTGCTTAGAAAGTTCAAAATATAGTCATTGCGATAATGGACCTATAGCAATTATTTACTAATTAGTTATTGTTTAATTATTATTACAAAAAACATTAAGTTTATAGTTCAGGTAGTTGATTTAGTTTATTTTTTTTGTAAATAAATTAAAATTTTTATAACATAGTCTTATTAGTATTATACTATGTACTATAATATTAATTGTAAAACTATTCAAGCTTTTTGTACATACGTATAAGTATAGTATGAGGCAATTGAACTGGCAACCAACTTACGGTCACTGCATCTCTAAAAACCGTTCCTAACAGTACACTAAAATTGTGCCTCATAACATCAGATTTCTTTGCTTACTAGCGCGACAAACGATATGCGTATCAGATGTGTGGAAAAAATTTTATCCGGGATGGGATATACACATAATACTATGAATGTACTAACGGAAATGCACTAGAGCCCTATAACATCTGAAGGCAAATAAATGAATTGTGTCTAAAATCACAGCCCGTTACCAGACTTAAACTCAGCAATATCGGAAAAAAATGTTGGAAACATGAAAAAGTTTTCTGTCGCACTTAAAACTGGCTACTGATCTAAATATATCTGCTTGGAGTGTGCCTTTCAAAATGCAAAAAGTACACCATCTCATACCTAAAAGGAATAAAAGGAAAAGGAATAGAGTGGCAAGAGCAATTGCTTCATCGTGCCGAAAGTGTTGAGTAACCGAATTGGGGTTTCTTTTAGGAGTCCCCAATCACGATTAAGAAGTTTGGAAACAAACAAAATGTCAATATATATTTGAAAACAAGACATACATATAACCATGGTTTAGAATGTTATCCAGTTCGGTTTTTAGATTAAGTTTTGAATACTCAAAACTTAATAAATGATCTTTATATATAAGTATTTTATGAAAACATCTTTAGAAATAGTCCTTAAATAAATACATATCTTTAAAAACAGTACTTAAATAAATGAATTCATTATACCTATATATTGCTAGATAACACAATTCATAAACTTTTGAATACATATGGTTTGATCAGAAATAATAATAACATGTCTAATATTTTAATATTATTTTATAAAATAATATGCTGAGAAACTTTTTATAAGAGGTGTAAAGAAGAGACTCCTTATCTTTCTTATTTCAGTTCGAAATGTATGACTGAAATGCCGCACATATCTTAAGATTAACCCAGACCTAGTAGTTTACTAGGTACCTTAGATTCTCAAAATAAAGACTGTCCTATGACAAGCATGTTTTAACGCGGCAAGTATAACTAACCTAATTACTTTTAGGTATTATTAGAGCCTATTATTTTATACAGACCTAACAATAGATCTTTTAACTGTATGAGAACTTTTTTTTTTAAGGTAGCGCAATGCATTTAATTGTTCGCAGATCTTGCGATTTAAATATCAGTCAGTAACTCAATTTAAGAGATTTTCTAAAGACAACAAAAATATGGTTTTATATTGCACATTTATATAAAATAGCTAACTCTACTAAAATCCGTTGTAAAATGGGTGTTCACGGAAATCGAAATCGGGCTTTATTTATTGATTATAATAAAGCCTTTAAAATACAAATCAAGTACCCAACACTAGGCAATAAAATCTCTCCTATGTAAGAAGCAATACCTAATACCAGTCGTTATGGGACTAATAAAAATAAATAAGAAACATAAAAATTGTATCTGAATAATGAATACGGTAGGTATCTAAAAACAATATCTAAAAAAATTTAACAAAGATCATAAGAATAGAAATAAAATGTGTCTTTCTCTTCTTTATTTTTTTAATGTATAAGGTACTGTCATTTAGTATCCATTTAGTATTTTTACATCCATAATTCTGCATACTTGGATGTCTATAGATATTTAAAAGTATAATATTTTTACTAATTGGGATCTTAGTAAACTAAAAAATAGTTTTCTGACAATGACAGTTAGTTAGAAAATAAATTTTATTATAATATTAGTATTTGAGAAAATCTAATGTTGGCGATTGCTGAAAACTAGGGCAATATTATAAATTATAAATTTTTTTTATGAAACTAAATATCTTCTAAACGTCTCTTCAATAGATGCTTCAATTTATTACTACCAGCTTGGTTATAAGGGACCTTAACCAATATACTTTTTTTTGGCAACTTTTTTATGATAAGTGCAAGTAATAAATACGACATTTAATAACATTTAGAAAATTAATTAATTTATATTGAAATAGTCTAAAATTCTATATTTATATTAATTTTACTACAATATTTCTAAAAGATTATTAAATTGTTATTTATTGGACAAAATTAAATTTTAACTAAATTTTATGTATTGTAAATGAATATGTATACATATAATGTTGTAGAAATGAAAGTCCTTTTGTTAAAAATTTAGTTATAAAAGACTTATTGCCCTAAATTGATTTTTGATATCAATTTTTGACAGCTTTCATTATTGAATGCTAAATAAAAACTCTTAATTTTAAATTGAAATATTAAACTGCGAATATAAAGTTGACATTTTTATTATTAAATTTTTGAGTTTCTATTATTTTCATGCAATTAGAGAAAGCATTTCTCTAACAATCCCATTCAATGATATCACATAATTGACCTACATTTCAAGAATCGTCATAATCATGCCAATTCAATAAAAAACAAAATCCTTAACACATAATCAAACACTTTCTATGGCCTTTTAATATTATTGCCCCCCAAAGTAGTGCTAAGTAGCCTCCCACTCATTCGCTGCCTGTGCGCTGATAATGACATTTATAGCAAAATTCAGTAATAAACATTTTACAACAACAAATTTCACAATAAAAAATAAAAAAATTTGAACCGAGAAATAAACTGGCAATTTAAATTATTCAAAGCATTTGATTTATTCGCTCAAATGCTTACAAATTTAATTTTATTTGTTATTTTACTGAAGCGTTTAATTTCATCTTTTCTTTAAATTTTTTTCATTACAGTTTTGATCTCATCATATTCGGAAGTGACCTTTTAACGTGTGCTTGCTAGTCGTGACCTTCAAAATTACAGAAGAAAGGAAAAGAAAAGAAATCTATCGAAATCTCAGCTGCCGTCTCACTTAATTATGCTGATCGATAAAAAATGGCGAAATCAAAAACTGCTCTTTATGCTGCTGGGTTAACTTGTTACGGGTTCTTGTGCTTCGCTTTGGCTTCAGCCGCTATTGGCATACCCATTTGGGGCTATTACGACAGTTCAAATGGTAAGTACTCAGATATATAATAGAGATCATTATGATTGTTATAGATGTGCTGCTATTGGCATACATATTTAGGATTGTTTCGTATATTCAAATGATAGGTACTCAGATATATAATAGAGATCATTATGATTTCTTTGGATATGCCGCTATTTATTTAGGGTCATTACGACAATTCAAATAATAGGTACTTAGATATGTAATAGATATGATTCTGATTATATCCCTATTATTATATATCTATATGTCTCTATTGGCATACCCATTTGGGGTTATTATGACAGTTTAAATGGTTAGCACCTAGATATATAATTAGGGTAGTTATGATTATAAGGTCCGTGATTGGAAAAATGTTATATTTCAGCTTTAAATATTAAAATTACTCTTTAATCCCAATGATTATATGGAAATTAAGTATATTTATCGTCGTAACGACTATCAAATGTATTCTTTTAATATATCTTTTACAAATGATATATCAAAAAACAAATATCTTACGTCATATTAAGAAATCTGGGAATAGTGAACGCCGAGTTTTTACAGGAAACTAAATTATCTGTGAAACGGGATATATTGCAACAAGACTTGGTATATTGCAATAACACCAAACCGCTTAAAAATCTATTGGATTATTAAAACTCGAAGTGAGTTTCTATGGCTAAAAAGAAATTGACATCAAGGAAGGAATTTCAATATCTGTTCGCTATGTAAATAAAATTAAGAAAAAAGTCTACAATATTTTATCAAAAGATGTCCAGCACGGAAAGAGTATCAATGAAGATATTTTAAAATAGCAAGGCTGTGTATATCTAAACTGATTGATATATTAAAGATTTAAATGATATACAATGATATCAACTGTCAAGGCTACGAAGCTTTCAGACTTCTTCAGCATACTATATGTGAAGACTTTCTAGTAATAATAGAACTGCTCTTACTAGGAAGTGTTTTGTTTTTAAAAATAATTATGTTATGTAAATAAAAATAGTCCTCACAAAACTAATGTACCATATAATCATTTTAAATATCAGTCAGTAACTCAGTTAGAGAGATTTTCTAAAGACAATACAAATATGGACAAGCTTTGTATTGCATAGTTAATGATAATAGCTGACCATACTAAATTCCGTAGTCAATTTTGCGCACCCCGGAAATAAAAAGGAAGATAAAGTCTATAATACAAATAGCTAAAAGTTAATTCAAATGCTTCAGATATAACCAATAATAATTTATATTAATATATTAAATACTTCAAAATAGAAAACAATAATATCAGTTGTTCAGCCATATGTTTATAGTTCAAAACGAATTATTTAAAAAAGATGTTATACTTCAGCAGTTTTAGTGGTATTTATAGCACAAAAAACTAATAGTGCTAGCATTTAAAATAGTAAGAAAAAATGTGACTGCATGTAATCATTTATATAATATATGTATAACTTCAATTTCCGGAACAACTCATGTGACAATGGATTTTAGTAAAAAAACAACTATTTTGAGCTCTGAAAATCATTATAAACTTTAATTTTTTAACTATAATAAAGTTGTCCAAATTCCCCAGTTAGGAATGATCTAATATTAATATATTAAATACTTTAAACCGTTATAAATCATTAATGTTAGTTATCAGTTAGTTACCAGAAGCTTTTTTATAGTGTATTACAAAAAAATTAAAAAAGTGCTGTATTTCAGCAGTTATTGCAATGTTAAGCACAAATTAACTAATAGTATCAACTTTTTAAAACAGCATTAAAAAATTATTATTGTAATTATTAATAGAAAATTGTTAAAAGGCTTTGCTGTTTACAATAGGGAGCCAAAGATTTTAATAAATTAAAACTAATTAAATTAAATAAACCCATATTTTTTTTTGTGTAAATAATAAATTATTCAATTTAAAAATGATCAAAGTTTTATTGATAACCGTATATCCTGCATTCATCAGTGTTGGTAGTATTTAGGTTATGTGCATAAGTTGCATCCTGAAGATAGAAAATTGCTTAAATGAGGTTAGATGGCATCCAAAGAAAATCATTTACTCCTACTTCATATTATTTAAGGTTTGTAAAACATATTGTTACTATTTTTACGATTTTCTGCCTTGATTGCTTATCTGCATAGATCCATGAATACTATAGCAGAGAATTCGATTGAGTATTAGTTTAAAAAGTTTGGTTTAACTCAGTTAGTAGGATTTAATTAAGATTTTCTAAAATTTGACATATCATTTGATTAAATACATTTCTAAAAAATTTAAATAAATTATAATTTAATTAAAAATATTATAATTACTAATAAAATTTATTTTTATTTAGGTGGCTACGACTACGACCGTGGATACTTTGGTCCCTTTAAAGTATGTAAACAGTTGGCATACAATCGTGAAAAGTGTGGTAATGAAGTCTCCAAATTTCGGCTTAACTGTAAGTTGTCAATATATTTTTTGTGTAATATTTAAATTATTAACTAATTTTTAATTAATTGTAATCTTTGTTTAATATATTTTAGCTGCCGTATATGTTAGTGGCTTATTGGCCATCATTAGCTCAGCTGCGCTGGGTATATTCTGCATTTTATCGGTGATACAAATTGCAATGATTTCATCACGTGATAAGGTTGTGATGTCTTATACTAGCTTAGTAATGATAAAATTGATCTTAGCAATAATTGGATGTAAGTACTGAACATTTCATTTGATGTTATTTTTTATATGCAAATTTTGCAAAAGAAAACCTAATAAGAGATTTTAAAATAAAACTTAGAATAGTCAATTAAAGATTACTAAAGCCCCCATAAACTAAGAATTGGGTATTTAAATGATCGAGGATAATTTTTACTCAATCGATTGAGCATATACAGAGTTGACAATATATAATGAAATAAATCTCTATTGAAAACTGTTTTCATATATATAAACATATTAGTATATAAGATTTTAAGTAGATTATCTAAACGATCACCTTAATCTACATTACCATCTTAACAAGATAGATCTAAATTAGACTGCAGAACATTTATCTAAAAGGATATGATACATCTAGTCACATTCTTTGTGTCTATTTAGCTTTAGCTTTCAGGAAGAAAATACTTAAACAGTAGAATATGTAATATTATTAATATTAGGATGTATGTAATATTAGGAAATACCCAACATTAAACATTCTGAGCTTAATTAAAAATGCCAGTAAGGATCAGTTCCTAACGCAAACGATTTACTATGTTCATTACATTCTGCTCCGCTGCAAGCTTACAGACCTGTTAACTTCTGCTCTTTATTTTACTATTATGTGCGTTATCAAATCCATGGTACTCATTATATACTTGAATTCATTCATGGTAAAAGAATATCCTTTTTATTTTTCATTAGCTTAACGTTCGCGTACATTATAGTTAAATACGTATTTTGAACTCGGAAACCATTCACTATGGTTTAGTTATAAGTACTTTGTGAGGTTATAAATGCTAACAAAAAAGTGGAGCTTAAAAGTATTAGATCCATTATAAAAATTTGGGGTATCTATTGTGAACAGTGAACAAGATTGAAGATTAATTGAAAAAAAAGGAAATTTTAATATGATTTAAAAAAAGCTAGATAGAGATTGGAGCTATGAATTGATTGAAAAGAGTAAGGAAAGTATAGAAGAAAAGAAAAGGAAATGTATGAAAAAAAATCTGTTGATATAGTCTGGATTGAAGTTTCTAGACTATACCAGATTCATTGGAGATCTAGAAGCAGTATCTATTGTGAACAGTGAACAAGATTGAAGATTAATTGAAAAAAAGGAAATATTAATATGATTTAAAAAAAAGCTAGATAAAGAGTGGAGCTATGACCTGATTAAAAAGAGTAAGGAGAGTATAGAAGAAAAGAAAAGGAAATGTATGAAAAAAAATCTGTTGATATAGTCTGGATTGAAGTTTCTAGACTATACCAGATTCATTGGAAATCTAGAAGCAGTATCTATTGTGAACAGTGAACAAGACTGAAGATTAATTGAAAAAAAAATGAAAATATTAATATGATTTAAAAAAAAGCTAGATAGAGAGTGGAGTTATGAACTGATTGAAAAGAGTAAGGAAAGTATAGAAGAAAAGAAAAGGAAATATATGAAAAAAAACTGTTGATATAGTCGGGATTGAAGTTTGTAGACTATACCAGATTCCTGGGAAATCTAGAAGCAGAATACAAACAACAGAAAAAAGACACTACAGTAAGAGGACTGTAAGAGGTGGACTATAAGGAATAAGATATAAACATGAGAATGGTATGAGAATAGCAGGAAGTATATGGAAAAGTTATTAACTCAAATGACTTTAATGTTGTTATTATAGCGTAGTTTGAAGTGAAACACAAATGTGATATAGAAAAAAGAGGAGAAGGTAGACTCTAAGAACGACTAATAAGTAACAGAGTATTAAGAAAATTCGAAGAAGTGTATGAGTGTAGAAAACTATATCGTGTCTTTTAAGCTAAAAACTGTATTGCAAGAATTTTTTTTTTATGAGTGTTTTTTTTGTAGTTTTCTGTGTATTGATATTATTAAACGTTCTGATATGTGTCAATATTTAAGTGAAGGCAATAAAAATTAAAGTTATAATATTAATTGAGAAACAAAAGCAAAAGATTCAATTTAATTTAGAAGCCATTTTATTCTCCTTACGCGTTTTCGGTGTACAAAGCTTAAATCATTCGCCATCGCATTAGCGTACAGTGTCTATTCATTAATGCAGAGAACTATAAGGATTGTTTTTATTTGAATATAATACCAAAATTTTTTTATTTTGGTGCAAAAGTCTAACTATAAAATTAATGTTTTTTAAAAAATTGTTCTTAAAACCATCAGGTATACTAGCATTGATTGCTGCTGTCCTCTTTGCTTTGCAAATAGATGAATCGGAAAAGTATGGATTTAGAATCTCACGTGGTATATCATTTTATTTACAGGTTAGTAAAATTTGAAAAGAATTATATAAAAATATATAAATTAAATTAAATAATTATATCATTTAACAGATAGTTACCATAATTTTAAGCATAGGACTTGTCTTAACCTCAGTATATGATATGCTTTTCTCACGTCGCCCTGGAGGAGACCCAACGATGACTGTAGATGCTTCATCACCATCTAGTGCAACAACATATAATAATCCAGGCTATAAAGAGCCACGTACCAAAAATGGTAAGTACATTCTATGGGTTAAAAAGTATTTTCAGTTTTAATATAACTTTTATTTAACTTCATTTTGAACTTTAGTTTCTATATAAAAAAATTTAAATAATTGAATAATATTGAATAATTTTTTTAATTCGCTTATTTCGTTCAACTTTAAATATTGTAATATTTTTACTAGTTTTTACTAGCGTTTCTTAATGTTTATATAATTTTAAATTCTTCACTCATCTTTTACTAGTATAAATGAATACTGAATATTAGTGAGTTTTAATAATTACAAAAACTTTATTTTTAAATAAAATTTTATTTTATTTTAATTTTAAATTATTCTTTTTTTTAATTACTTTATTTCATTAGTCTTTTAATGAACACTCATTTTGTTTGATTGTAGATAACATATGAACTGAAAATACTTTCTAGCCAAGCTTTCATTATAATTTTTTTTTATTACTAATTATACGCATTTCATATTATTATTTTTTAGGTGTTTCAGTCACAGATGCTTCCGGCAAACCTTATAGCAATATACGGAATGGAAGCAGTGTGGCGTCGTTGAGTACAACAGTAACAAGCGTTTCAAATGGTTCGACTATGGAATCAGTTACACGCTCACCTTTACGTTCCAGTTTGAAAAAACCTCGACCACCTCGAGATAATACGTTAGGCATACAAAATCCAGGGTTCTCTGGCTCAGGGAGCTCGCCGCCTATGAATCGTAGTGGTAGTGTTAAGAAAGTACGAATACAGACACACAGTACCGAGGTGTGAAAATTTAATTTGACACACTTAGACATAAAATTTTTATTACATTTAATTAAAAACAAAAAATAAATTAAATTATTAAAATAAAAATAAAACATTCGCATATTCAATGAAACAAAGACTGTGTATAGAGAAAAATCATTAAGAAATTAAAGTTCTAAAATAATACAAAAAAAAAAACAAAAAAACATTTACATAAACACAGATACACGCACACAAAAATCTTAAACACATACGCACATAAAATTGTAAAACGACACTATTTTAATTTTTTTATTTAATTAGTTTAAAGTGTAAACATCAAACGCAATACTTAAGTTAATTATGATTAAATTAAATAATTGTTATTAGATATAATTTTCTCAAAATTATAATACCATCTATTAATAATATTAATATATTTATAAAAAAATATATTAAATTATATTTTGTTATAAATTTTTAATCTATCGTTAAACCTGTAATCTTTCATTTAGTCTTCCAAAAAATATTATTAATTTATTTTTAATTTCAATTAGAAAACTTTTAAAATGCAGTAATGAATAGTAAGTTTAATTAAAATTCTATTGTACGAAAAAATATTCTGAAGAAATTAACAATTATTATTAAATTTTTTTCGTCTTCTATCTTTTAAGTTTTCCGTCCAATTTTGTTTTAAACATTAACTCCTAGAGAAAAAAACATTATTATAAAATTTAAAATCCGTTAAAAATATGTTATTAGATATATAATTATGTTATAAAAATAATTGTGTTATTATACCAGCAGATGTATTATTAAACACATATAATTATGTTATATGTAAATAAATATTTATGTATATATGTGGATATATATGTACATATTTTCTCACGTGCGTTAATTCACTCGTTGTAATGTAAACACTTAATAGTATACGAGTAAGTCTGATAAATCCTCAGTTAACCACCCGCTAGACTTTGAGTTGAAGCACATAAACATACATTTAAATTATTATATATTTTTACAGATATATTTTATTTATGAATAATATTATATATATATATGTGTTTAATAATAAATCAAATTGACTGAGTGCCATGATTTAATCATGTCTGACACTCAAGAATAAAATAAAATAAACACAATATATATATTTATATTTAGATAAAAAGAAAAATAAATATAAATATGCATAAATGTATTTAATAATATATTGATTATAAAAATATTTTTGTGTATGTAAAATTTTATTATTTATGTAATTTTTTCTTTCGAAACATATTTCTGTTAATATCTTTGTAGAATTTTATTATACTAGATATCATAACCAAAATGTTGTGTATATATATTTTATTCTATTTGATATATTTTGTATATTTCGTATATTAAAAAAAAATTAAAAGTATTTCTCAATAATTAAACATAATTTATGTCGTATTATTTTCTTAAATTTTCATAATACCAAAATATTATTATTTGTAATTATTCTTGTTTTATAACAGAAATGTTAAGAAATCAAACCTTTTAAAGAAAATGTTTAATGATATAAAATAAAACTAACAATCTCTATAATTTTGTCGTTGGATGGTCTTTATATACATATATTTTATTTTAAAATATTTTATAAGTAATTAAAAAAACTTCTTTGTAATTTTCACAGTTTCATGCATTTAAATGCAAAATAATTACTTTAAATATAAGTAGCAAAAAATTGCAATATTACATCATAAATGACAAGAATAATTTAATTTAAATTAAGTGTTAAGTTTGTATTTAAGTAAATATATTATTCATAATTAATTAAATTTAATTTAATAAAGAATAACTAACAAAACTATTTCTATATTAAGCAAATATATTATACTAGTAATTATTTAAAAGTTGATATATATCCTAAACTAAATACAATACAATTTGTACAAAAAGTAAATTTTAAAAGTTAAATAATAAATATAAACATTTTAAAATGATTTCATTAGATTTATTAGTATATAATTAATTATAATAATAACATTAAAATAAATTTAATTTAATTAATTATAAATATCGTAATAGCTAATAAATTTAGTGAACGAATTATTATTATTTTTATAAATTAATTGTTTATTATTAATAAAAATTAAAAAAATATTATTAAAATTAAAACTGTTTTCTTCTTGACTTTTTTGATAGAATTCATGTGTCATTTTCAGTTGTTCCTTCCTCTGTGCGCATTCAGCAAAGACAAGCACTCGCTCGTAAAAGTTTAGCTAAGACAGCAACCACAAACGCTACTTGTGCTATTATCCGCTGAATGTAATAAACCTTGCTAACTTGTAAAACAGTGGCGGTTAAACATTTTTTAATATATGTGAAATACTTGAGGTGTATTGACATACAACATTGTCGAGAAAGTTACTCAAACTATCAGTCTTATTAACACCTTTTGTCAAATAGGCGTGCTTTTAAGTTTAAAAACATTTTAAAGCTCTATAAATTGATATAACTAGGTTTTTATAACTAGCTTCGTTAAAGCAGTTTATTGGCATAAGGTATAATGATAATAAAATATTATAATAATATATAAAATATGATTAATCATACAAAGAGCTTTCGTGTTTTTTAACTTAGTTAAAATTAAATTAAAGAAAATTAGACCAATAAAATCGACTGCAACATTGCAAAATATATTTCCCAAAAGGAAAATTGTCTAATTTTAACATATTTGGCACATAGAACAAAATGTAAATGAACGAAAAACAAACCAGCCAAGGGTGACAATTTTTCAAAATTTATATTATTCAATTGGTTTTGTAATGTTGTGAATGATATCATACACATTTTCAAAAAATGTTTGGTTTTTCTGCTAATAACGTATTATCTGCTAATAATTCAAATGTAACAAACAAAAGCTCTCCCAGAACTTTTGCAGAACTTTCTGATATATAAAAGCTCTTTAACATGCAATAATCAACTTATGCCAATGGAAACCACCAAATCTTAATTTGATTAACGAAAGTTGTTTTAGCTGCAGTGGAAACACGGTATTATATTACTTGGACTTAGTGTAATCCATTGATTTATCTCCACAATTGTCAGAACAGCTGCAAAAATAAAAATTAATTTTTGATATTTTTAAAGCTCTGATACACTAATAAAGTATTATCTTATTTTCATAAACACAACAAATTCTGCATATATATTATTAGTTAGTATCTAACTCATAATTTCCTTATGGAGTTGGACTATATCTGTAAAACTTCACGTGATTGCGGCACCATATTCTGTTTAAGCGCTTAATAATAGACTACCAATTTAATACTTAACTTATTTGAATGTCCCTTATAATATTTATGAGTAATTCAGTAGAAGAAGCTTTGGTAACAAGTCTGCAGCATTTACAAAAAGGAGATTGACATTATTGGGTTATAATATCTTGAGCATAAATCACGTTCAAGCTGTCTCTGTTGATCTTCTAAAATTTATTAAGGAACCTAAGAAATTCGAATTTGAATAGTCTATTTTATTTTTAGTATTTAATCTTTCTTTTGGATTTCGGATTATTGGTCATCTAACCAAATGTTCTTCTGTGCTGCGAAGTGCTCTGCTCCGTGGCCTGTGATCAAGTGCACATGCACTTGTTTGAATGGAATGTGTTATACTACAATATACACCATAATATCCAGATCGGTTAACTTCTGATTTTCACTTCGTAAGAGTGAAATCACTTTTTCTCTAAAGTGATGGGTTCAAACCCATCTAATCTTTACTTGAAATGAGGACGTTAAAAATGACTTGTACTAATTTTTTGTCAGCACTGATCTAAATATTTGTGACAGTGAAACCCTACTACTGCCTGAAATATGGGAAAAGATATAAACCCAAAATGAAGTATTCAGTTTATACTTCAATAAAATATCTGTGCATCGAAAGAAAACCATCTAATATTTCAAAACAAAAACAAAAAACTGAAGTACTTCCAAAAAACCCAAGTGAATTAATTCAAAATAAGTTTATCATTAACCATAGAACAATATAATTTCTTATGTTTAATAATTACATTTATTAAAATCACATCACCTTAATCTTCAAGTCTATTAAAATAGAATAATTGTATAGTTATCCAACTCTGATACTTAATGGACTGAAAATTGATATGCTTTGCTATGTTGGGGGTTTTTGAACCGCAGCTATTTTTTGTATTACTTCGATTTAACATCTTCGAAACGAGTTGATATCTCAAAAAGTAATCTAGATAGTACTTGGGGTAGCGAAAAAGTTGTCCAAAACAGCTGATTATAGAGAACTCCATTGTCAAGTCGACATGCAGTGTGAAGACTTAAAATTATTATATGTTATTATTTTAAGTCTATATAACTTTTAAAAAAAAGAATTATGTATGAAGAAGGTATTCGAAAAGTCTTTGAGATGGATTTTATTTGGAATGTATTCTGACTTACAGGAATCCTTCCACTTTTTGGAAGAATTATCATCACCTTTTCGCTTTTTTTTGAATATTTCGAAAGCTATAATAGACAGAAAAAATTAAATTTCGGATTAAGTATACTTATACTATATCACGAAAGTACAAAAAGTTTCGTAATGTTTCACTTACTGCAACTCCATATCACAGAAGATCAACTATGGGCGCGATGCTCCGCTCCATTAGAACCCTGTTTATTTCTATTCTACTACAAGTCCAACCCTATACAATTATATTATATACATATTATTGTATTGTCTTTACATATATAATATAATAACAGATTTTCGTGATAATATAATTCTACAAACTGAGGTAATGGGTTAATTAATCAAGGTGATTCTAAAAACTCAATACTGCTAACTCATTGTGTGAATGGTCCAAGTAATATCCAACATATTGTCGTATACCCATGCCCCATCTCTTCTTAATTGGATTTCGTTTGTATATTTTTGTGACACCATAAATTACTAGACATAAGGAATTTTAATTGACATAGTCAGAAATAAATTTGGAAATTATTAGGTAATGGTAAATGTCAAAAAAAAACAGTTTGATTTTATTTGTTTGCGTACCTTTCGAATGCAAAATGTATCTGCGTCACATATCGAAAGCGAAATGATTGCATACTGACCAAGAGACAGACATCAGCAAATTAATGGGGCGAAGTGTGAGGTAGATAATATTAAAAAACAGCAACAAACACAACCCTAAAAACATAAAACCCAAAAAAAAAATACTACTTATTTTGTGTAGTGTAGCTTCCAACAATACACTGTAAGCTTCT